AATCAATCTATTACTACGTATGCCGTAAGCGGCCAAACATTCCTAAAGACGCAGATGAGAAAACAGTAAATATAAACTTTACCCGAGTAAATTTCCGTAATTCCATGAATATAGTATCTAAAAACGACAAACAATACCATAATTTTTCCGCCCTTTTGTCTATAGATTTTTAGCGAAGTACTTAAGTACAACTCTTTCATATATCTCTAACCGTGGGTTTCTGAGACCAAAATTCTGTATAAAATAGCTATATGCTAACTATCCTTTGTCTATTATTGTCACTTTCAAGCTGTAAGTCTACCATATAAATAAATAAAATATAAATCTGTATAAATATGAATTTTTAGTCTCAGAAACTCACGGTAATAGCCGTCATATTTAAATTTACTTCGATCTTATTATATCAATCAAACAATACAGCATGAAAAATATAAAGACAAAAGTATCCGAAAGTTCAGTTATTTTTAATTGTAATTAATCTAGTGTAACAAATTTAGTGCAAATTGTCTCTTTGTAATTAATCCGATAATAATTTCTATAATTCAGAAACGGGTATTAGTTTATCCATTTGACTCTATTACCAATTTGCATTGAGAGAGCTTATAAATACATAAACATACGGTGAAGGAAAACATCGTGATGCAACCTGCACATATCTGAGAAGAAATTTAAAGATATGCGTGAAGTCAACCTACTCGCACTTGGCCAGCGTGGTTGATTAAGGCCTAGTCATCTAACTTAGGGTAGGCTCCGAGCCCCTCGGTGGGGACGTATAGTGAGCTGATGATGTGTGCTGTGAATGTTTAAATGGATGGATGTTTGTTAGAATGTATCTCCAGAACGGCTGCATGGATTTCGCTTAAATTTGGTATAGATGTAGAACATAGTCTAAAAGACCACGTAAGCTACTTATTAAGTTTATTTACTTACGAGCGGAGGGAGTCCTAGCTAGTTTATGCATAATTACTACTACTTTGCCTCAAGTCTTATAGAATATATCAATAAAAAGTTTGTATATGGACAGATAAGTAAATATGGTATATAATGGAAATACATATGTTATATTTCCATTGATTACAAATGTTGTTTGTAATAGAACATCGAGTATATAGTAATGGCTTATCATTACAGATTGAATAACAATTGTTTTCTGATAGCTCGTTAACAATAGGTATTAATGTATTAATCATTTTATTATTGTTTACGATAAACATAACTACGCATTTGTTGTTCTCTTAAAGTAATTTATATAATTATCTATTTGTCCACTTAGCATTATACTAACTTCCGCCCGCGACTCCCTCAGCGCGGAATTAAAAAAACCGTAATAAGTAACCTATGTATGAAGATACCTTCAAACGAACATCCATGCATTCAACTTAACTTTCGCATTTATAATATTATTAAGATAGTAAGAAGTAAAAAGAAAGCGAGATAAAAACTGGATAATTAAAAAAAATGTTAAAATAATTCCAAATACCATTTAAACTGTAACCTAAATCATTATAAACGTCTAAAAAAAATTAAAAAAACGTCCCAGACAATATATGTCATTGTATATGTCCTAAGTTTCAATTATAAAATCATTACCTATTAGTCGATTGTCACTACCGCACGCGATTAAATTAAAAGGCATTTTTAAAGTCAGAATTATAATACTACGTTCTTGTACTAAGTTTGAAACAAAGGGAAATCCACAATACGAATCACGCTGCCCTTATTCTATCTGTCATAGAAATATTTTTATTCACTACCGAGCCAGATATGTTCGTTGGGAAAATGTCTGGCGATCGTACGTTAGGTGCGTGACCCCGTGACTCATTGCCATTTTTATTTTCGCAGTGAACATTGCGTTCGGGCATTGCAACCGATTTTTTCCGCAGTAACGCACTATCGTAAAATAAGAAAAGTACGAAGTCTTTGACCTTTCCTTTGTTTGTTGCTAAACAAAGATACTAAAGAAACAAAGCTTTCCGTTTGATTATAATCAAATACATATAATAATATGTATATACAGCGTGTCCCAAAATTCAACGATAAAACTGTTATGGTGTATAGCAGTCTAATATATAAAAAAATAAAGGAGATTGTAAAGTGTAATAAACTAAATTAAGTTTACTAATCACCAATATTTTAGAATCACTAAATTATAAATAATTCACTCGAAAAAAATATATTATATAAAGCAGTCATAGTAAAATATAATAAAATAAAAAAGGTAATCTTTTTCAAGAATGATAAAACCGGTGAATTTGAACGCACTAGTTTAGATAAAAAATCGTTTTTTGGAAAATACTTTTTGCATTTGACAGTCAGTATTAGGGAGAAGGTATCGGAATATTTCTGGCAAAGTTTTTTATAACGTGGATTTTCACTGCCAAAACACTATCGTAACTTTCGTCTTTATATTTTGTCAAAAATGACACCTGGATGACTTGTTTTTCTATAATTATTTACAGAAGCTAAACACAAAGATATATCTACAGGTAGCGAGAAATCAATAATGAAAGAAAAGAAGAAACAACGTTTTTGAAATCAATTAAGTTGTATATTATTTGTGGTTATGTAACATTTATTTAAAAAACATTCTTTTTGTATTTTATGTAAATATCAAAGATCATTCGGTATAGGTTGTTAATGTTAAGTCGTACCCTCAATTTTACAAAAACGGGTACAACGTGACAATACACGAAACATATGCGTCACAGTTATCGACGAGCTGACAATAAGTTTCATTTATAATTTGTAAATAAAAACATTTATTGTTTTCCTCAGAATTACATAATAACATCAATAATATTATCTTCAATGTAATAAATGTTAGGTACTTTAAACATGTGTACAGATAGAAATTGTGTGTGCAATTTATATGCGTATACTGCATAATTCTTTTGTTTATTTGCTAAACGACCTCGTCAAAGGTATATAATTTAATTGAAAAACTAGACCCCTGCCAGGCGTCCCATAGACCCCAAGGTTATGGCGAGAAACAACGCTGAGAGTTAAGACGTGAAATAAAAAATATAACAGCAGGGGGGTTCCCCGGTGTAGTAATATTTTAAGGGGTGTCTTATAGAATAAAGTTTAGGAATATTTAGTCTAGACTATCGATCAATTGGACTAAGACTCTGAGTGAGTTTTTAATTACAACACAACAAGACTGTAACCCAGAGGTGTGGGCAGAGACCACGAACCTCCATTAAGCGTGAAAAAAAACTTTCGAAATCCATGTTTCGCCGTTCCGGGAAACGGAACGTGACTGGTTGCGTGCCTTTTAATTATAAAGAAAAATTGTGATAGTATTAGAGTAATGATTTATTAGTAATCTGTATTATATCTAAAAATAACTTTTATCGGTTTAAAATGTGGCACGTGGTTCGGGCAACTCTTTGTTGTATGGAACCCGGATTAAATTATCTTATCAATTTATTTAAATAATACGACCATAATGGGATTTACAATCTTTTGATAGCAAAATGTCATAATGCGGATGTTTTTAATTTGTGATGAATAAAGGTTTATTGATTTTATATTACTTGATGAATCATAAATACCATTTATAGACTAGCAGCTAGCTACGGTATCGGGATTCGATTTTACAGCCGACGTTAAAAATTACTTAATTAAATAATTAAATTACATTTGTTAACATATATTTGACATTTGCAAGAAATATGTCTTCCTTAATAAATATATATTGATTTGTGAGAATAAATATTACGTAGTTTTTATGGTACCAAGGTCACATAAAAATAAGCAATAAGGTTAGACAATCTAACTAAAATATAATTTTTAAATATATATAATTCTCTAATTCTCGTGTCACAATGTTAGTAACGGCACCCCTCCGAAACGACTTGACCGATTTTTATGAAATTTTAAATGCATATTCAGTAGGTCTGAAAATCGGCTACTATTTTTTAATCCCGCGCAAACGGAGTCGCGGGCGACACCTAGTATACATATTTTTCTAAATAGTTAAAAAAAACTTAGGCTATGTATAATGACTGCAATATGTTAATTTTTTAAAAACCGGTTCAATTAAAATTTTAGTATCGAATAACATTTTATTTTTTTGATAAGCGGGTAGTCGCTAAATGTTATAAAGATTTTTATATAATAAAAGTGATTGGCTGTATTGGTTTAAGTAAGTTCCACACAATTGTATTAGCAACATTATTATAAATAAGGTAAAATGTAGGCTAAATATTAATTAACTTTAATACGGTCGGGTACGATAACTTTACGTATAAATTACAGAGTTTTTCAGCGCTATTGTATCTTACTTCATTATTTTGTTCGGAATTCGAAGAGTCCAATTTTTTTCCGCTTATCCATTCTAACTATGTTATATGTAAATTAAATAAAATTAAAAATAAACAACGTAAAATTTGATACGTATAAAGTATTTTAAGGAAATATAAATACAGCAAATAAATCAATTAACGACATAACTTTTTACACAAAGTTGCGAGGGTATGTAACACAAACTTTGCTTTTACGTTCCTGTCAAAACTTTATTACAAATTCATTGTGAACAAACTTCAGCAAACTCAATTTTTTAATTAATCATTCAAGTTCTTGAAGTGTTCGTAATATACTTTTTAAAACGTTTATGAGTTTTCAAAAATAACCGCATGCATTTCAAAGTATGTTTCGAAATAAGTTTTACGAATGCCTCGTTCGATGACCGGAACTTGTGCTTAACAATACCGTCTCTAGTTTGATAGTAATTAAAATGTTTTGTACTATACAAAAAGAAATGAAAGTTCGCTAAGCAATGCAATACATAGCGAGCACATTTTGATGCACCGGCCACGGTAAGATTTGGCCGGTGTTGCAATTCGCAATGCAACGCTGATGGTGGGCTAGAGGCGATCGCACTGCACGTTCTAAGACGAGAAGTTTCCAACGTCGTAGTGCGTGCCAGAACACGCTCGCGCACTCCCTTGAGTCCCTATATCGACCGAGGCATAACTTAAAATAAGAGTATACAGTACCTTGTTTAGTCCTTGAAAGTCGCGCGCGATGCGTACGTAGTATTGCTAGGGGCAACGTTCAACAATCGGGACGACCAGCACGCGTGGCGCCGCGAAATTGACTGACACTTGCTCCGCGTGCGGACGTATTTATGCGCGCGCAGAACCCAACGATTGCGGTGAGGGGGCGGCGGGAGGAGATTTTGCTTCATTCACATCACTTACTGCGGAGTGCAGAGTCACCCTACATCCCACGGCCCATTATCCCGATTAACCTAAACAGTCAGGAGTCCCCTTCGCTGAACGCGTCGAGAGCTCTCCCGTTTGCGACATCACGAGGCCACCGCGGCGAGGGGTTACTGGTACTCGGTGCTATGGTGTCAGGTGGTACCACATGACTAACTTGAAAGTTACCTCTAAACTTTAGCAAACAATTTCCAACTACAATGTTAGTTAAAACACACATGAATATTGTTGCGAGTTATCTATCGTTGTTAGATTACTCAAATCCATAAAATGAATTGTAAATAACTGCGACACAATATAACAAACAATATATAAAACAACATTAAATAAAATTCTGTCGTTTGTAAAAAAAACGTCGTAATAAGAAAGATAACCTAAAAACCTCACCGAAAGGGTTTTTTTGTAAATTCAAGGACTTCCGCGATTGCGTATTGTAGGTATTTAAAATTTACTAGGAAGCAGAGATCGCCTATCTTATAAGATATTCTATAGAATAAGCGTAAATTGAACATTAATTTATTAAATGAGATTTTTATTTAATTTAATGTTTTTACACAACTACATATAACTGGCCAAAAGTTTTAAATAATTTTAGCGATATTACGAAGTTGATATTTTCGTGTAATGTTCTATATTCCATAATATTTTTTCATTATTTAATTGCATCGTATTTAAATCCTGGCCATTTATATAAAATACGAGATGTAACTTTATTTTTTTCTATCTTTTGTCTGATAAGTACCATTGAGGCTACGCTTTTCACTTCCTTTTCTTATCCCTTACCCAAATTCTGGAGGACCCGTAGGTCGACAAGTTTAACCCAAATTTTATTTCGTCTCAATAAATCAAGGATAGTGATAAACTCTGAATTTCAAAGTTGTAAAGTTGTTTTTGTAAATACTTTATTGTTAATTGAACCTTGAGAGTTTCGTTTTAAATTAATATTTATATTGTTATGCTTTTTAAAATATTTAATGATAAGTTTCTATTATATAATTAAATTTTTATTAATAATAATATTCTTAAGAGATGTGTCTTAACGCACACCTGTGATTGAAATTCAAGCTGCAACCGCATTGCTGTAGATTAACCGAGACTAGCGTAATCAATGAGTATGAATAAGTGTGAGTTTCCACTGACGAAACATCTTGTCATCCCTTTCAATCTTTACAAAAAAAATAGAGACAGCTATATATCTTAAACAGATGTTTCTGCAGTGGAAACTCATTGTAAAGCAAACAATCTAAAATTAAGTACACGTGGTTCGTGGTAATACGCAATAGTTTCCGCTTTAGTATTAAAATCTTATGCGGTTGAAAAAACTCCTTTTCCACTAGGATATCAGCCGCGCGATATCTCATAGAAGTTTTTATATCCATAACAATGAGGAATAACAAATAAACATCTTATATATAAAAGAAATTCGTGTTAGTTACACTATTTGTAACTCAAGAACGGCTTTACCGATATGGTTGAAAATTGGTGAGGAGGTAGCTTAGAGCCAGGAGACGGACATAGGATACTATTTATTCATTTATAAATGCGAATGTTTACATAGATGTGATGTGGATTGATGGATGGGTGGGCTACACTACTAAAGTTTTTTTATATATCCACCCGGACGAATTTATGCCTTGAAGAGCTGTTTTTTATTTAACTTATCTATATATTAAGTTTTTTATACATCCACGCGGACGGTGTCGCGGGCGACAGCTAGTTTAAAATAAAAGCTATTTATTTGCAAACGGCCTTTTCAAACAAATAATATTATTTCTAAATAACAAATTAATTAAAACAATATGTTAGAACAATATTTAGTAATAGGATTTCATATTAATTTGCACGTACAATAATAATTAAGATGTAACTATTCAATTCAAAATGCTAATGAATTTATACGATAATGATTCATTAATTTCAATTAAATTTACCAAACATACTTTTATAATTCATAATTAAAATTAAATGTAATTAAGTTTTATTTTTAATTAAATAAGATTCAATCAAATTGCATATTTGCACCTTAATATTTTGTTATTAATGTTTTGCGTAAACACAAGGAAATTCTCTCGGTATTTCCCCCTTTGCTTTAAAACTTTTGAACCTATTTATTCTGAAGTTACTAGCCAAGTGAAACACAACTATTAGTTGTTTTATCTCGTACTTATGTATATTTTAACCAGTTTTTTGCACAACTGTAGTGACTTTGTCATATATTGTCATCTCATACATTACCTTTGGAAGAAAAGAGTCAACTACATGTGTTAATACAAGTATCCGCACTGGAAACATACAGAAATGTAAACACGTTACAAACCGGTGGTGTATAAGTACATTTGCAAAAAGGCAGTCTGGCAGGTTCAAGTCTGGTTTAAAGGGCTCCGTAGACCAGGTAAACTGTACTAGGTACTTATGCCTCAAGGTAACGAATGCATTTGCGCAATGATTTTTTAATGCATTAAACCATTCCAGTTATTACTTATCTAACTGGAAAGGCTTTATTTACTAGGTTATCAGTATTAAAGCTAATCTTCGTGTTAAAGTGGAGAATGTATAATAAGGGCCGCCATACACGGACAGTCTTAAGTACTCACGAATGGTTACCTAGTAGTTGGCTTGCTGTGAGAATTTTGAGGCGACTGTAAACAGCAATCAGTCTTCAGTGAAAAAGTCCGTGTATGGCGACTTAAAGTAGTACATTCAAGATAAGGCAAATGCTCGTCCTAAAGGAGCTATCATGACACTTCATTTAAGAATAGGTTAAGTATTTTTAATGTCAGCAAGTTAGTATGAAAGGTTTGTATTTTCTTAGCATTAATTGAACATTAAGATCAAAAATCGGTTAAGAATAAAACTGCAAAATGTTTTCTTGTATCACGAAAATAACTTATTTTACTGTGGTCAAAGTGTTTAAATCCAAAATTAAATTAACATCGTTACTTAAGAAAAACATTGGTTAAACCATTCGTTCGTCTAGAATTTCCACTGTGAATTTTCCGTGACAATTGATTCGTGTGACTCTTATTATAACGATGCTACTAAAAAAATGCAAACATCTTGTTTGCTTATTGTACAAAGTTAGCCGGTTACAATCTAATATATTTGTCGTTTAAATTACATATTTTTTATATCATGCTCATGAGAAATGATTTTATTTAGAGTTACAACTTTTAAATTACCTTTTACAAAAAAAATGAATTAATAATGGGGACCTATCTTGCACGAGGTTGTTTTATGCCTCAGAGTCATTGTGTTCGTATCTACTTTCTGCTTTAGTATTAAAATCTTCCCTTAGATCAGCCCTTTAAGCGTCAGTAGCGCAGTTTTCTAGCGTAAGTATTTCGATGTATGGATGAGGGAATGTAAGGGTGAGCGAGTAGGTTGAGGACGCTCACTAAACTAGCTTAGTGATAGGTCATGTTTTAAGTGCTCTATTCAGTCTTTGTCCGATACGCTTCATTATCAGTAATTTGTTAACAATAAAATGTATTTATTCTTGTAGATAAAACTATAAAGGCATCTACTTATCTGTACTGATAGAGTTAATGCCCTTTAACCTAGAAAATTCATGGAGTTTTCCAACTGTGTAATTTCATATTTCTAATTTAAAAACAAGACTAACTGTCGTCTGCGACTCCGTCCGCGGGGTAGTAAAAAATCTTAATTAGTAGCTTATGTATTCTTTCAGACTATGTTCTACATCTAAGCCAAATTTCAGCAAGATCTGTTTACCTGTTCTGGAGATACTTTCAAGCAAACATCCATCTATCTATCCATCTAAACATTCGCATTTATAAGTACGAGTACATACGTTGTTTTGCTAATATATAGAATTTATTCATTTACCTAATTAGCAAATAACCATAGACATAACAAAGGTGAAAAAAATAATTTAACGAGCATTAATCAGCAGGGTCGAAGAATAATTACCGGTTTCCTGTCGACCTTAATTTGCTTGTTGTGACAAATTAGCATTTATTGAAAAACAAACTACAAATAATATAGATCTCTTTGGCACGAACTTTAACTCTTTCAAAAAAATTATTAAAACTTATTTCAGTATGCATAATCTATAGAATAATTACAAAGATAAAAAAAAATCTACTATTTTATAATAATTTCCGAAACCTTAAACTATTACCTAAATAAATACCTCTGTAAATGTTATGTACACCAATATTTACATATGTATAAGATCTAATACTATTCATTTGATAAGTTGTATGTGTGTTATATATATGTTGTGGTTGTGCTTAAATAAATAAATAAATAAATAAATAAATAAACAGAAAAATATAAATATACATAAATATAACTTACATAAACATGCAATGAAACAAGAAATGCATTAAAACGGCTGTGTTACATTGAAATTGAAAACTTCGTCGTTTTACAATTTCCCAAGCAATATTATTTAATGGGCAATTGTGAATTTAACTAAGTTCGCGCAATACCTTCCCTACAAGTTTATTACCTACCCATTTCGGTGAAGAAGTCGAAAACTTGTTACAGCAACGTACATAACACAATTTGCTATACAATTATATTAACCTATAAATACAAATGTTTAGATATAAGGATGGATGTTTGTTAGAAGGTGTCTCCAAAAAGGCTGAAAGAATCTTGATGAAATTTGGCACAGTCTGGAAGAAAACATGGGCTACTTATTAAGGAGTCGCGGGCGAAAACTATCTGTCCTCTTTTTATTTAATTCTTTGTAGTAAATGTGTAAGAAATAATAATCCATACTTTCTACAACATGCTATTTTGATTAAAAAAAATATGAATAACAAAAATGCACTGTATAAAGTTGATACCTGTCCGTTTTAATTGTTGTGTGGCGACAAATTTAGTCATTCTCAATTGCGCCAATTAGATGAATGCGGACC